TCCCCTCCCCGGGCTCGTTACCCCTCCCCCGCTCGGGTCCCTCCGCCCGGGGGGCTGGGCTGGGCGGGGCGCGAAAGCGAGGGGAAGGCAGGCAGGCAGGAAGGAAGGCGGCGCCCCCCGCCCGGCCACGATGGTCCCGTCCTTACCGCTCATGTTGCCCGAAGGAGGGAGGCGAACCCAAGTGGCGCCGGAGGGATGGGCGGGGCGGCGTCGTGGGGGGGGTAGCGAAGTCGGTGACGAGGCAGGCTAACCCCACCGGTGACCGCCAAAGGGTTGGTGAGGGGAGGGAGCTGCGCCGACACGGCCCAAGGCCCGAGGAACACGCCTTTTCGCCACTCTGCCCAATCCCAGAGCACGAAAGGATCTACGGAAGGCGGGGAAAACTACGAAGAACAGGTCGCTCGACCAATGATTGAAAGTGAGGCGGGGTCTGGTGGGGGAAGAGAGGAACGAGGAGGAGCAGTTTACCAAAAGCTCCGCGGCGGCGCCCCTTTTGGGAAACGATTCTAAATGAAGCTCCACCCAGTGAAGGGAGGCGGGGCTAGCCCAATAGTACATTTTTTTTCTAAACCTAGCTTGTCGGGTGGGCCTGGTGAAGGCAGGACGAGGCTGAGTTAATAACTGACGTTGTTATGGGCCAATTAGCGATCGCCGGAGATTTCAGAGTTTGAAACTGTATGATGAAATCTCACGCCTTTACCCAAGATTGATTTGTCTGTCATCCAATTAGGAGAGCTTCTGCCCGTTTCCTCGGGTTAAGGACGGCAGGGCTAAGACGGGAAGTGACATGAAAGGAAGCCAATCAGTTTCCACAGGAAAACGTGTAAGGGTGTGGTGCGCCTCAGAGCGATCTGTCATTTAGCCAAACAGCGGCAAGAGGAGCGGGGTGGGAAAAGCTCTCTGCTCCAGTGAGGAACGCGACCCTTCTCAAATTGGCCAATGACGTGGCTTTTTCTGTTGGGGTTTTTTTTTCAGGAAAAGGCGTTGGGCTCTGGCGCCATTTTAGTTCGAGCGTGTAGCTCCGCCTCTTTCCTCCATTTAATGAAGGGGGTTATGCAATGAGACGTGACGCCCGTGGTTTTCCTTTTTGGAAGTCGGTCAAAGGGTGCTCTCGCTCTATTCCTGTTGGAGTGGCTTGAGTTTGGTAGAGATTCTCTTCCCTTGCTAATTATTTACTGAAGGAGCGCGCTGAAAGCCGTGGAAGCGGGCTGTTGAGCATTCATTCACGTTACTCATTTCCACATAAAAACAGAACGTTTTAAAGACAACGATAATTCGGTTTATAGAGTACACTGCGCATGCTCGAAGCCAGAATGCCCGAAAGCAGCTCGGTTGTACTTAAATATACGGTATAAGAAATCGACACCATCTTCTACTGGGTGGATCTCAAACTAGCTTCTAGATTCCTCATTCGTTTCAGTGAGCTTTGCTTCCTAATAAGTATGGTAAGACTTAGAGCTTCGGGCTGCAGCCCTATGTCCACCTCCGAGGGAGTCAGGCCTCTTGACTTGGGTAGAATTTCCTGGAAAAAGCAGGACGTTGTTTTCGCAAAGTGATTCATGGCATATTGTCTCGTTCATAGCCTTTCTTTGAAGTTGAGTTATGGCAACTGGACTTCTTTCCTGTTAGGTTGAAATGTTTCGCTATTCATCCAAGTAGCTTCTTCAGTCTGAGGAGAGTTGGTAGGAGACCCCCCCTGATATATCTTCCACATTGGTTTCACTTCCTCCTGGTCTGAATAGGCTTGTTAGAAAGAGAAAGGGCTGGGGGTGAGGGATAATCCCACTTCTGCAGTCCTCCTCCGCCCATTGTCATCAGTCATTGGCGGTCCTTAACAGTCATCTTTCTTGTTTGTATGTCCCTAACCTTCTGGGGAGGGATGAAATGGCAGCATAATAAATAGGAGACAGATTGTATCTAAGGCCTCCACCCCTGTTGAGTGAGGGATTTTCTATATGCACATGTATGGTCTCCCTGACCTCTCTCTCTCAAACCACTTATTTTCTTGGTCCAAAATGAGTACTTCTTGGTCATCAAATGAGTGTTCTTTGTCCTTCAAATGAAGGAACACTGCTGATTGTGGTCCTGAGCCATTGCCCCTTCTGTGCTGGGCCATTCTCCTGTTTAGTGGCTGTTTGGTTTCTCCAATGTAGAGCTCCAAACACTCTTCTTTGCAGTATATTGCTGGTGTTGTGTTTTGGTGTCCGGTCTTTTGGGTAGATGAGTCTCTGCCTTACTGTGTTTGTGGGTTTGAAGTGCACAGTATGTGAGAAGAAGCAAAGAGAGAAAGAGGTGGAGGGAGGAGATCCAGGGTTAGAAATACTGTACAGTTAGGGGAGTTTGGCCCTGTAGAATGGACTATATACGTGTTTCCAGGCAGAAAATGTCCCTCGAGGAGGGTGGTCCATCCAGAACTTATGCAGATGACTCAAATACTATGCAGGGGGGATTGGGCCCACCATCCTTGTTGTGGCATCATATGCACAGTGAGGAACAATTCCCCATGGGCAAGGGGAGATTTGTAGTGTCTCCGCATTGAAGGAAAATTAAGAAGTTAGTGGACTTTCCATGTTATGGACTGATCCTATATTGATGGCCGGTCCTGTTGGACCTTCAAAATTATTGTTGATTCCCCTCCCTTTCATGAAAGTAAATGTTCAGTTGATAAAAATATGTCTCCTGTGATTAATACAGTCAGAGAAGAGGAGGTACTTAGTGTCATATCAGAACCCAATCACAGTACGTTTTCTGTAGATATCTTTTCCTAAAATGTGGTGACTGCACAGTCCAGTTGTCTTTGATTACTTCCCTTGTGAACTTGATATTTGGATCCATTGCATTGCAGTCCAATGCAAAGAGAAGTGTTCGGAGCTCTACATTGGATAGATACGACATTGAATTGCTGTATAAGCTGCATAGAGGAAACTAATTTCAACACAATAAAGGATTAAATAATTATTATAGAATTATGTTTTTATAGTCTTTGAGGAATATTTGGTGTGGTGTTTGATCACAGCCATAGTAAATGAGTTAAAGATGGATTTATGCTCCTCTCAATAATGTGACAATATCCTGGAATTCTGTTCTGTTTCTTAGTGACATTCAGTACACAGTTCAAGAAATGAAGGAAAAGTTTTAGCATAGTACTGTATTTCAGATACAATCTGAAAAATAATTTGTTGATCTGAGTTTTTCATTGCTTCACATTACAAAGCCACTGAAGTCTCTGAGCTTCTTTCAGTAGAGACGGCCTAAACAGGGGTGTGATCAACACAACTGTTTCTCTTTACACCTCAGTTCAATACCATAATAGCTGATAGTGTGTCAGGTATCTTAGTCCAATTAGAGAAACTTGTTACCAAACTGCATTGTTAGAGATGTTGATCTGTGCATGCACTCTGTTTCTTTTGGCAGTTCTAGTTGGGGCTACCAACTATCAGGATCTAGGTTTGGTCTTATAGCTTCCCATTACTAAGCTAAATCCCTACAAATCACACCAGTTCAGTACTTATATGGCTTATTTGAAACAGCAGGAACACATCTGTCTCAAACAGAATCTTAGCCACTGGCCTTGAATTCTAATTTTGGCATGAATTATTGCTTCTCCTTATCATCTCCCTGTCCTCCTGGTCTCACCAAACTGAACCTCTGAGAGAGGCCTTGAAATAATCAATACTTGAGAATATCTATAGGTCCCTTGCTTTCAGGCCAGGGTGGGGAAATTCTTTCAGGGGAATGAAGAGAAACTAAGTGTAAAATGGGGTGAAATATTATTTTCTTCAATCTCTGGGAAAAGGTTATGTTGGGTCAAAAAGGAAACATGTAACCAAAATTACTGTTACATTCATGATAACAAATATGGAAATATGGTGCTGTTGGATCATGTGAATGAAAGTTGAAAGAAATACAGTTCTCTCAGTTTTGAGTACTGTATAAGAAACTAATGTTACAGTAACAATGCTGTATGTTTTTCCGCTGGAATGTTTTTCCGCTGTTGTTGACTTTGGAGAGGTTGTGAAGAACAAAGGTTAAAGGGTAAAATTTACTCTCTTGATGGAAACTGTTGGAGAAAGCCTCACTGCAGCGTGAGAGCAGCTGCTGTCCATATTAAATTGGCAGCTGGAAAATTCTTACTTCATGAAGGATGATCTCACACCCCCATTCTTGTTTGAGGGAAATGTTTTCATTTCAGTCCCAATGATCAGAGAGCGAGCAGCCAAAATTACAGGAGTTCTTAGCTTATGTTTTGAGGAAAAGACTAGTTGGCAAAAATACATTATACATATATGGAATCAGATAAGATCTGTTATAAGATACTTAAATATTATAAACAGTTATACTTCCAATTCTGTTGTCTAGTTTTATATCCAGGATGATGTATGGGGCTTTAAAAAGTGACAAGGAAGGCAGGGCACTGAAACAGCCACTGGGACCCACCTAGAAGTGCACTACATCACAACATTTTTTTTAAAGAAGGAACAACAGCAGAGGGGCATTCACAATCAGCTTTAACAAAACCAGGTTTGTTTGTTTGGGAGAGAAGTGACGTGCAATGAGGTGACCAACTTTTGGTTTGCTGCCTTTTTAGCAACTTCAAGTGCTATGATTCAGTGGTTGAACTTCTTGTTGAACTTGCTGCTTCCTGGCTTCAAATGAAGGATTCCCTCATAAACGAGCATTCTTGGGAGGAAAGGTGCTTTTCTCTGTCAAACTGCTCTGGGCTCCCAGTTGCTAATTGGTAGCTTGCCACTTTCCCTACTTTTAAATTGGAAGAACACCTGTGATAACAGGTGTGTGTGTGTGTGTGTGAGAGAGAGAGAGAGAATGCTAGAATCTTCCTGATGTGTTGTTGTGGCAAGAAAAAAGTTCAGCTATTTCACATCTGTTTGATGTACAGGACTTAAAGGCACAGAATCTCTGCAGAATTCACCCCTCTTCCTTCAGTCATTGGCAACTGGGCAATTTTCTGCTGTGCATGCTCCATGTGGAGTGGGGGTGAGGGAGAGAAGGAGGGAGCTGGTAGGACTTGTAAGCCATTTCGGTACTTCTGCTGCAAAGTGTTTAGGGATCCACACACTGAGCTGAGTACCCAGACTAAGGACAAGCCTACTGAGCAACTCAAGATCATGTGATCTGATCAGAGCTGCAGAGCTTGGAGAGAGAGAAAATAGTTGGATAATACCTTTATTGTACAGTCAAATTCGTGCTGACTTGGGGTGCTGAACTCCTTGCAGGGGTTCCAAGATATGTGGTGTTTTCACCTGTGCCATCCCTTCCATGGCCAGGCAGGGATTTGAATCCAGATCTCCTGAGTCCAACACTAAGTTGCCTTAGGTCCTTTTAAGGAGAAAGGTGGGGTAAATAATATTTTAAAATAATAAATAATATACTACACTGGATTTTCAAATACTTTATTGAATCACAAAAGAGTCAAACCTTTGCATCCTTCAAAGCTCT